AATAATAATAATATAAATAATAATAATAATAATAATAATAATAATAATAATAATAATAATAATAAAGATTTAATAATAATAATAATAATAATAAAGATTTAAGTAATAATAATAATAATAATAATAATAATAATAATAATAATAATAATAATAATAATAATAATAATAATGGAAACTTTATTTTCTTTAATACATACTTACAATTGCAAATCTCACTGTTAAAGGTAATTTACAATTGGCTACTTGATATATACACAAGTACACAGTATAACAAGCAGATTAAAATTTTAGTAAATCTGGGTTTGTCCAATCCTTGTTTCTACAACAAAAAACGTAATATGTTGACCTTATTGCGATATTAATGATCTTTCTGATTATATATCGTACACCAGCCTTGTCGGATTTTAAACTTTCCAACATATCAATGAAGACTGAGCATTCTTTCTCAAAGACACCAAGGGCACTAATCGACAGATTGACGAACTTTACTGTTTTAAAATATTTCTGCTGTTCCGTAATCGTATCTTTATATTTCACGTGTTTTCGCTGCGCATTTTTTCTTAGATTAGTTTCGTACCCGACGGTTAGTTCAAGGATATAAAGACAATTGTCTTTGGTCATAATTAGTAGATCAGGACGATATTCTTCACCAGTAATTATTGAGGGATTCGGGAATGATGGCAAGTCAGCATAGATGTTTTGAATATATTCCTTGGGAAGGTTATTGGCAAGAAAATTTAGGATTGAATCGTGTCTCCAAGTAAATCGTTCTAGGTAGGAACTGCAACCAGAGACAACGTGCAACAATGATTCAGGGTTAAGGCAGAATGAACATTCAGAAGACGACGAGAGTCCCCACTTATGTAGATTTTTCCGGGTTGGTAGTGAATTGTTGATGTACCGAATGCTGAAGTTGAAAATATTTCTTGGTAGTTTCGATTGACACGTTGACCAAATACAGTTTACTTTGGGTAGAGAGAATTTTGTTATGCTGGAAAAGAACGAACCTTGACATTTCAGTTGATTTTCTAATTTATCTTCTTGACTTTTTCTGAATGACTTAACAACTTCTTTCGTTGAATTATATTGATCATATTGAGTGTTAGTATGATTAGAAGAAGATTTCCATAGGTGTTTTATTGATTCGTTAGGAGAAGATTTCAAGACACTGCGGATAGTTGTTTGACATTGGTTGAATTTAGTAGAAGGAGGAATGATGTTAAGACCAAATTTGTTTCTAGTTAGGTAAACGTAACTAAGCGATCCAGAGATAGGGAGTTCAAGCCATTTTCGGATGTACTGTTTGAAAACTGAGTCCAGGTTTTCTAAAATCCAGGTTTTTTGAATGGATGCTACTGTGAGATGCCACGAGAGTTTTGAAAGTACATAACGGCTGTATAAAAGAATTTTATATTTTGGGTAATAAATAATAATAATAATAATAATAATAATAATAATAATAATAATAATAATAATAATAATAATAATAATAATATAATAATAATAATAATAATAATAATAATAATAATAATAATAATAATAATAATAATAATAATAATAATAATAATAATAATAATAATAATAATAATAATAATAATAATTAAATAATAATAATAATAATAATAAATATGAAAACTTTATTGATTTTTTCTCTTATACGTACAATTGATGATTTTGATCATAATTACCATATTAATCTTAATAAATTATGGTTGCCATGGCAACCATAATGCTCAGTATGATTTATATAATTTGCATATTAATCATAATAAATTATGGTTGCCATGGCAACCATGATGATCATTATGATGATCTCTATCATAATTAGCATATTAATCCTAATAAATGATGGTTGTCCTGGCAACCATGATGCTCATTATTATGATTTTGATGATAATTAGCATATTAATCATAATAAATGATGGTTGCCATGGCAACCATGATGCTCATTATGATCATTTTCATCACAATTAGCATATTAATCATAATAAATTATGGTTGCCATGGCAACTATGATGATCATTATGATGATCTTGATCATAGGTAGCATATTAATCATAATAAATGATGGTTGCTATCGCAACAATGATGGTCAATATGATGATCTTGATATTAATTAGCCTATTATTAATATTAAATGATGGTTGCCATGGCAACCATGATGACTATTATGATGACTTTGAACATAAATAGCATATTAATCATAATAAATGATGGTTGCAATGGCAACTATGATGCTCATTATGATGATTTTGATCATAATTAGCATATTAATCATAATAAATTATGGTTACTATGGCAACCATTTTGATCATTATGATGATTTTCATCATAATTAGCATATTAATCATAATAAATGGTGGTTTCCATGGCAACCATGATGCTCATTATGATGATTTTGATCATAATTACCATATTAATCTTAACAAATTATGGTTGCCATGGCAACCATGATGCTCAGTATGATTTATATAATTTGCATATTAATCATAATAAATTATGGTTGCCATGGCAACCATGATGATCATTATGATGATCTCGATCATAATTAGCATATTAATCCTAATAAATGTTGGTTGCCCTGGCAACCATGATGCTCATTATGATGATTTTGATCATAATTAGCATATTAATCTTAATAAATTATGGTTGCCATGGCAACCATGATGCTCATTATAATTTATATAATTACCATATTAATCATAATAAATTATGGTTGCCATGGCAACCATGATGATCATTATGATGATCTCTATCATAATTAGCATATTAATCCTAATAAATGATGGTTGCCCTGGCAACCATGATGCTCATTATTATGATTTTGATCATAATTAGCATATTAATCATAATAAATGATGGTTGCTATGGCAAATATGATGATCATTATGATGATCTTGATCATAATTAGCATATTAATCATAATAAATGAGGTTTGCTATGGCAACCATGATGATCATTATGATGATTTTGATCATAATTAGCATATTAATCATAATAAATGATGGTTGTTGTGGCAACTATGATGTTCATTATGATGATCTTGATCATAATTAGCATATTAATCATAATAAATGATGGTTGCCATGGCAACCATGATCCTCATTATGATGATTTTGATCATATTTAGCATATTAATCATAATAAATGATGGTTGCCATGGCAACTATGATGATCATTATGATGATCTTGATCATAATTAGCATATTATTCCTAATAAATTATGGTTGCTATGGCAACCATGATGATCATTATGATGATTTTGACCATAATTAGCACATTAATCATAATAAAAGATAGTCGCTATGGCAACTATGATGATCATTATGATGATCTTGATCATATTTAGCATATTAATCATAATAAATGATGGTTGCCATGGCAACCATGATGACCATTATGATGATTTTGATCATAATTAGCATATTAATCATAATAAGTTATGGTTCCTATGGCAACCATGATGATCATTATGATGATTTTGATCATAATTAGCATATTAATCATAATAAATGATAGTTGCCATGGCAACTATGATGATCATTATGATGATGTTGATCATAATTAGCATATTAATCATAATAAATGATGGTTGCCATCGCAATAATGATGATCATTATGATGATTTTGACCATAATTAGCATATTAATCATTATAAATTATGGTTGCCATGGCAAATATGATGATCAATATGATCATCTTGATCATATTTAGCATATAATAAATGATATTTGCCATGGCAACAATGATGCTCATTATGATGATTTTGATCATAATTAGCATATTAATGATATTAATTGGTGGTTGCCATGGCAACTGTGATGATCATTATGATGATTTTGATCATAATTAACCTATTAATCATAGTAAATTAGAGTTGCTATGGCAACTATGATGATAATTATGGTGATCATGATCATAATTAGCATATTAAACATAATAAATTATGGTTTTATTGGCAACCATGAGGATCATTATGATGATTTTGATCATAATTAGCATATTAATCATAATAAATGATAGTTGCCAAGGCAACTATAATGATCATTATGATAATCTTGATCATAATTAGCATATTAATCATTATAAATGATGGTTGCCATTGTAGTATATTCAAATTAGTTGAATTTCTAATTGATTGTATATAAGCCCGAACTACAATAAAGTCAAAGTCAGTTGTTTGTAAGTCCGATTGCGTACACATAATATGACATGGTGTCAGGTGTGAGTAACTTATGATGGAATTTAGTTTCTCGGGAAAAGGTCCGAGTGAAATGAATTTCGCAGCAACCAACGTTGCAGGGACATGGCGAAGATGGAGAAAAAACATGCAGTTGTATATAGACGCCACGATGGCAAAGAAAACCGAGAAAGAGAAATATTCGTTTTTTCTGTTCTCGATCGGCGAAGCAGGACGAGAAATATTTAACACGTGGATCTGCCCAAAAGTTGTCGATGACAGGGGCGAACCAACAGACGAAGACGAGATAACAGTAGCGGCTCTGTTTAAAAAGTTTGATGAATATTGTAAGCCCAAACGAAATCTAATTGTAGAGCGACACAAATTTAATACAAGACGCCAGAATCCTGGGGAATCAGTCGACCATTACATAACAGATTTAAAAACTTTGGCAGCATCGTGTGAATATGGCAATCTCCAAAACGATTTGATAACAAGTCAGATAGTTGCAGGAATCCATTCAGACAAAGTAAGAGATAGACTTTTAGGAGAAGGATCTGAACTATCGTTAGATAAAGCTGTGGGTATTTGTCGCTCGCATGAAGTCACTAAGCAACAGATGAAATTATTCCATGGGGAATGCGAAATCGATGCCGTAAACAAAGGGCTGAAGCAAGACGATAAAAGAGCGAATCAGTCTTCAACAAAGGGCGGTAAAATTCTCAGAAATGACCAGAACAAAGACGGGAAAACGGACAGGTCAAATTTAGCTTGTAGGAATTATGGCAGAATCCATGAGGTGAGAAAATGCCCTGCGTACAGCAAAGAGTGTTACAAATGCCAAAAGAAGGGTCATTTTGCGAAGATGTGTCGTTCGGTGCCAAAGCAAAATGAGATGTCAAACAGAAGAGTTAGAGGGATCGCAGCACATTCGAACGATGATTTTGTTATTGAGGCAGTGTACGGTGAGGAAAACAACGTGGGAAAAGACAAGGAAGCTCTGGCTGTTGTTAACATATGGGATGGTAACGTTCGTGTGAAGTTAGACACAGGAGCAGAAGTCAATGTTATGCCCGACAGAGTTTATCAACAGTTGGTAGAAAAAAACGATGGTACAAAAAGTGTGCAACTTAAAAACACAGCAATTAAATTAACGGGTTACGGAGGAGCAGAGATACCTGTAAAAGGGACATGCATATTGCCCTGTACGTACAAGACGCAACAAATAATGTCGAAGTTCTTCGTAGTCGAAACTAATTACAGAACAGTCCTCAGTTTAGAAACATGCAAGCAATTGAATCTTATCAGGGTAATGCACAGCCTAGTGGTGGACAACTTAGTCAGCGGTTGTTCAACAGAGCAGATTAAAGAAAATTACAGCAAAGTTTTTCACGGTCTTGGGAAGCTGGAGGAGTGTTATCAGATGCAGTTGGATCCTAAAGCAGTTCCAGTTGCACAAGCTCCAAGAAAGATTCCAGCTACGTTACGTGTCAAGTTGAAGCAAGAACTCGATCAGATGGAAGAAGAACAAGTCATTGTTAAAGTCGATGAGCCTACAGATTGGGTACATAATCCTGTTATTGTTGAAAAGCCCAATGGAAAGTTCAGAGTCTGTCTGGATCCGAGGGAGCTGAACAAATATTTAAAGAGAGAGCAATACCAGTTACCTATGTGGGAAGAGATTTCAAGCAGATTGTATGGTGCAAGATTCTTCAGCACGTTAGATGCTAATCAAGGGTATTGGCAGATATCACTTGATCATGAAAGCTCAAGGCTGACGACATTCAACACTCCGTTTGGACGGTACCGTTTCCTGAGAATGCCTTTTGGCATCCACTCAGCTCAAGAGGTGTTTCATAAGAGAGTCAACCGTCTATATGAGGATCTGGAAGGAGTTGAGACCGATATAGATGATATACTGGTTTGGGGGAGAACGATCGAAGAACATGATCAGAGGTTACAAGCAGCCCTAGACCGAACTAAGAGTATCGGAATGACCCTCAACCCTGACAAGTGCACGTTTCGTGTGACAGAGGTAACTTACTTTGGACACAAACTTACGGCAGAGGGTATACGACCAGATCAGACGAAGATCGAGGCAATTATCAACATGCCAGCCCCGCAAGACAAGGCTGGTGTACAAAGGCTACTTGGGATGGTGAATTACTTGGCAAAGTTTATCCCAGAAATGTCCGAGATAACTGCACCATTGAGAGAACTTTTGAAGATAAACGTTCCTTGGCACTGGACAACGAAACATGCAACAGCTTTCCAGAAGATAAAAGAAATCCTGTCGACAGATCGCGTTCTGAGATACTATGACGTCACGAAACCGGTGGTTCTACAAACAGATGCTTCAAAAAAAGGGCTTGGGGCAGTTTTACTGCAAGACGGGTTTCCTGTGGCCTATGCCTCCAGAACGATGACAACGACACAAGAGAGATACGCACAGATAGAAAAAGAGCTGTTGGCTGTGGTTTTCGCATGTGAGAGATTCCATCAATATATTTATGGAAAAACAGTTGAAGTTCACTCTGACCATAAACCGCTGGAAAGTATCCTAAAGAAACCATTGGGTGCGGCTCCGGCGAGATTGCAAAGAATGCTCTTACGCCTGCAGAAATATGACATAAACTTAATTTACAAACAAGGAAAACTTCTAAAGGTTGCAGACACATTATCAAGAGCTCAGCTGGCTGAAACTGCAGAAGAAATCAGTGAACAAGAGATGAAATCCCAGGTTCATCTCATTTACGCGAATCTACCATGTTCGAGTAGAATAATTGAGGAAATGCGCCATGAGACAGCACGAGATCCTGTTTTACAGAAGGTTATTCAGTTACACAGAGTCGGTTGGCCGCAGTCGAAGAAAGATTTACCTAAAGATCTAAAAGAATATTGGAACCACAAGTTAGAACTTAATGAAAACCAAGGCATCATTCTTAAAGATCAGAAAATAGTGGTACCATTAGCCTTAAGAAGAAAAATTCTAGAGAAGTTGCATCAGGGTCATCAAGGGATTGAAAAGACTAAGCAACGGGTGAGACAAACAGTTTTTTGGCCACGTATTAACAACGATATAGAAGATTTGGTATCAAAGTGTTCTTATTGTCAAGAACTAAGAAATGCTAATCCGAAAGAACCAATGAAACCACATGTAGTTCCACAGTACCCATGGCAAGTTGTCGGAACGGACATATTTCATTGGCAGGATAAGGACTATCTATTAGTGGTGGACTATTATAGCCGATATTGGGAAGTGGTGAAACTCACAAATATGAAGGCAGAATATGTCATAACTGAATTGAGAAAGATATTTTCCCGTCATGGGATTCCAGAAGAAATAATGTCTGACAATGGGCCACAATATGCCTCTCGAGAGTTCCAAGAATTTGCGAATGCATGGGACTTCAAACACGTTACATCAAGCCCAGGGTATCCTAGAAGGAACGGACTAGCTGAAAGAACGGTGCAAACAGATAACTTTTAAAGATAAATAGTCGAAAGATAGATCAAGTTAAGGAAACTATGTTTCTGGGGGTAATATTGGATGAACATATAACTTGGAAAAGTCACATATCACATATTGCAAGTAAAATATCAAAGTCTATAGGAATTATATACAAATCAAGCTTTTTCCTTTCTAGATCTGCATTGCGTACTCTTTATTATGCTCTCATATATCCGTATCTCCAGTATTGTATAATAATTTGGGGATCCACGTATCCATCTTGCTTACATCGAATTAATCTACTACAAAAGCGTGTCATTAGAATCATCAACAGGGAAACATATGATGCACATACCGATGCTATTTTTAGGAATCTAGGTATCTTAAAATTGAATAATATTTACCTATTTCAATTAGGAATTTTTATGTATAAATGTGAAAACAACCTATTGCCTACAAATCTAGCTAACTCATTTATAAGAACCAATCAAATTCACAATTATAACTCGTGCCTCTAGATTATTTTATGTTCCAAGCTGTCGAACCAATATTAGAAAATTTTCCGTAAATTATCAGGGTCCTTGTTTTTACAACTCCTTGGATGCTGGCATTCGTGATGCTGCATCCGTTTCTCAATTTCATTCGAAATTA